ATCAAGCACAAAACCATCTTCTTTCAAAGGACGCAGTAGATTTGCATGTGATATCTGTACACAAATTTGGCGGCGTAGCAACAGTTGTCAGGGTTTTAGTCACGTGAGTGAAAATGATCTATTGAAAGAGCTTTTTCCGACTTGGTCTATGCCCTTCTTAGTCTTAAAGTGGGTTGTCGGCGAATCTTTATGTAGATAGTAATGCCTTCCCTCCTTCGCCCCAGGGATCTCTAGGAGCTCATCACGCAGCTTCCTTGGATGAACTCCAATAAGTGGAGCCAACGTATTATACGAAAAGCCAAATGACTTCGTAGATTTGATTTCCAATAGCTTTATATGCTGTGAAATCGACGACAATGGAAATGTTTATATATTGCACTAATAATTTGAAATTGGGGCTCTCTACAACAACAACAACAACAACAACAACAACAACATTGACTTTATTTTTTTAAAATGAAAGAAATAAAGGCTTTTGTAGCCCGCAGTTAGCAAAGCTATTCTAGGCGGGCTACCTAAACAGACACTGTATAGGCTCACACACACACACACACACGCACGCACACACACACGCAACAATGAAATAAATAAATAAATGAGCAAATAAAAATAAATAATAAATAATAGTAGTAATAATCATGTTAAAGGTTTTAACTGAGCCAGTCACACAAGGGAGTTTTTAACAGGTCAAAGAGAAAGCTAATCAGTTGAAATACAAATATAAGCTAGAAAGGTCAAGGTAGCGCAAGTCAACATTCATCTCCTCAATTTCAAGAATTTTCAAAAGCAAGTGAGTTAGCTCACGTTTAAAAGGTGCTTTCTTTAGCTTACGAATTTCAGGGGGGATGCCATTCCATATTTTCGCACCAACTCGAGAAAAGGTCACGTGAGATTTCAAAGCTCAAAGCCACAGCAAATGAGCAGGCTTAATAACTGTAACACCATGGCATGTATTTAATGATACTCCTTTCATGACATTTACCATAAGCAAATGCTAATGTAAGCACAACGAAACAGAATATGATATGGTACAACTAACAAAACATGCAAAGTTGTAAACAAATTACTAGCTGCTGCTACATGTGGTAAGGATAGC